GCGTGTACTCGCCGGCTCCAGGCGGAGTTTCGTTGTCGTCGCTGATCATACCGAACTGTATGTTTTCCATGACTGACACAGAGGCAGTTCCGGCTATTGTTGAAAAAATCACTAGGCCACAATCACCTGGCACATCTGAACTGTAAAAAGCAAACGACGTTTAAAAACTTGGAGCACAAAACGAATAGGTAGTGACATTCGAAAACGACGTCAAAGTAACACGCTTTACCACGAATAAAAAAATTTATTTCTTCAATCAGGAAAAGACAAAAGCCCAACAAACTCTGACGCATATAAAGGTCGCTGAGATTCTTCTGGCTTCTTCGACGGTTCCCAGTTCTGCGGTAGCTCTAAACGGTCAAAGGAAGGAGAAAGAAGCTGAAACAAACTTTGTGGTAAGGTTGTTTAAATAGCAAACAAAGCTGTACTTCCTCCTCGTCATAACGGAAGGCATCGCTTTCGGCAGAAGGAAGAGGGAAGTCTATGAACTTGGCTTTCTTTGCAACCTTTTTACAGTAATGCCGCTGCATCGTCTAAAATAAAGCAAAATGGTTCAACTGCCAGCAAATAAATAAATCTTAATTGATTGAACTTTAACACGTGCACTCAACATAGGGTTGATGGCTATGCTATTAATATACAAAGGCACAGCAATATCTGAGATGTGCCAGTGACCAGTCATCGACTTGCTACAAATTTCTTGGCTGCCATACTCGAACACAGCGGCACGAATCCACTGTTCAAACGATGTGACAGATAAATTGTAAAGGGACATATTTGTGTAGGCCAAGCTCCGGCACTTCTGTTGTGAAGGATAGACATCATAAAACAGTAGCAATACTCGCTACACTGCTTAAATTTTAAAACCATAAGGGTCAACAGTCTGGAGGCAGATTCGCTGCGTCACAACGTGACACTGGCATGAACCTTTGGATGTATTCAAACAAGAAGTTTGATTGCGCTTACACCAGGTGGCGGACCGATTACATATTTTGACTTTTAGAAAACGTGATTGCTTTCAGTCGTGAATACTCACTTTCTAAGTCTGTGAGAATTATTAAGACGAATCTAGAATAAAAGGCCATTGAAAAATTGAGCGTAATGCGTTTTCTTCAATATGCAGCATATGGATATTTCTTGACATGTTTCTCTTCTCGGTAGATCTGCACATCAAGATTCAGCAAAACATGCAAACCGTTAAACATCGAGAATTTATGAAAAGTCCTGCATGAGAGTTTCTAATGAGCAGTGCACTTTTTGAAGGACAGATGAAAGTATTTAGAGTACACTGTCAGAGTTAATGTCATGACAAATACAGTAACACTGAATAAAGATATGTAATATTTGAATTAATGAATGAAACAGCCTGTTAAAAATAGCATACAGGCGGAGGGAAGATGGGAAGCGTACGCAGATGGAAGTCGTTGAGATTTACACAGCAATGCTAATGGCTCGAATTGAAATGTCATGTAAAATTTTCCGTCTGCACTTTCGCTCATACAAAGTATCCATCTCACAATGCTTTAGGGCAACTAACAGTGAAACGGGTAGACAAGTAACAAGAAGACTGGAAAACAAGTAGGACAACACCATGTGTGGTCTCATCAGAGTCTGCGAGAAGAAGTTCCACGCTGTCCAATGTCTGTGCATTACGTTTCAATGAGCTTTGGTCCATCTGACAGCTGATTAAATATCAACAGTGAAGTAACTCAAAAAATATCATAATATTGTTTTAGACCGCACCACACGTCATTTAAATATAATCTTGTGTATGCCAAACGCTTCAGATGATACCGGATCCATCTTAAGGGACATGACTTACTGCAGTTTACAAAAAGCAATGAACAACAGCGCTGGCGAATTCGAAGCTACCATCATTTTTAAGCAAAATAAAGAGAGTATAAACAAAGCAATACAAGACCGTAATCGGGTTAGATAGGCAGACTAGCATGGTTCTATTTAGTGCATGGATTAGCCTTAAGTAATCGTGGGTTCCTTCCAGAAGGACAACAAAACTTCGCCG